CAAGATTTTGCGCCATACTAATATTGGATGAAGCTCCATCAAAGGTAAGTGATGTCACTATAATACCTGATGGATCGACAAATTCCAAACACTTTTTCACTAATTCGGCTTTCTCTGATCCAGAAATTCCGTTGCACAAAAAGTACCCTACTGGAATTTTCCAGTTTTCATTTAGACAAACCAGCATAAATTGCAACACTTGCGTTGCCTCTGGTAATTCGTCTGAATCCATATAGTTGCCGATATCAACATAACCAGTATATCCTCCACCGCTTCTCAGCTCCACTTGTTGTCTGATTGACATCTCATCCATGACAAGATTGCATAGCAGTTGTTTTCTGCCATCATTGGTTTTTAATTTTAGAGCTAGTAGGGCTTCTGCAGTGAAACCAGGTCTACCGTCAACAGTGCTGTACCATCTTGATATGGTTCTTAAAGCCGGTAAGGACTTGTTGAAGGTTTTTCTCACAAATGAATAGGCTCTCGCTGAATAAAAGGCCAAAGTTAAAGCGAATGAACGGAGACTTTCGTTATATTTCTGGGTGCGATGGCCTTTTAAAAAGCGCTTAAATATTTCAGCTGCCTGCCCATCCATAGATGCCTGAAAATAATATTATGTTGTTAATGATTTGCCGATTCTAATTTATTTTCTAAATTAAAAGTAGTCAGGTATATTCTTGTAGTGGTTTATTACCTTCAACATAGGCCCTGCAGATTCTGTAATCATAGAAGTTCTCCTAAGATGCTGTATAAGGCTGTTTAAATTGGTAATTTTATTTCTCAAACGTCTAACAGTAGCTTGCAAACTGTTAATTTTAATTCGTTGCTTATAAACCACTTCCTTGACTAGTTGCAGATTTCGTTGCCTTTTTCTAGGTGTACCAAAATCTTCACCAGTTAGGTCGCCAATGTACCCTCTTTTCCTAAAATCAAAGGAGTATTCATTACATTCTCATATGAAAAAGTTTGTATCCTGAATTTCTTACCTCTGCACAGGTTTTTCCATTAATCCTAAAGTACCTCTAAATTTGGATTTTAAACCTACAGCCTCTCTTGGAAGTGAAATGGGCTTTTCACTCATTATTTTTAATATTTCCCTCTCCGTCGAAGAAGCTGTTGCAGTATCTGATGAGTGTTTTGAGCTAAAAAAAAAATATATGCTTATTTTTTTCTCTGATTATGTATAATGTATCTAAAATATGGTATATTCTCATGTATATTAAGATATAAACAATTTTTTTTGCAATCATGACTTGCAGTTAAGTTGATGCTCTATAAATGAAATTATACGTGAAAATTAACATTGTGATATTATATTTTGAAAAAGCCCATACCTTCCCACCAAACTTAAGGTGTCAGTTTCAGAGAAAACTGCTTCTTTGTTGCATGTTTCAGTTTGGAAAGTTTCTTGCTCCATTATTGACAATCCATCAGTAACAGTCACACAAGAGTCATCCAAAGCTGGTTCATTTAGATTTGGTTCAGTCACCACAACTGGACTATAACAAAATTAAAACAATGTAGTAATGTAACGACCATAAAGTAAACGGTTTAAGGGCCAAATTATGGAGTGACTGGTAAACGTCTGATTGTTACCTAGCAGGTACTTTCTATGCACTAGAGAATAAAAAGTACCAGCTAGGTAACAACCAGACTCTTACCAGTTGGTCCATAATTTGGCCCTAAATCAAAAGTCACTACTTAGTAAAAAAGTCAATTGAATATTGTTTCGAATATTGTATAATTAGTTTATCATCTCACCTTAGACTCATCTCACCACAAGCCTCATTAGAGTTATCTAAAGCTGATTGCTCTGGTTCTTGCTGAGTTGCAGCTGATCTATAAAATATAAATCAAGACAATTAAATATCCAAAAAATAGTTATTTGAGTAATTATTTATTACAGTGAAACTTCTCAATAGTGGCCACAAAAATGAGGGGAAGGAAAAAAATTATTATCTACTTACCTATGTACCTATAATTTGCAACCTGAATAAAATTCCGTATTTATTGAAATGTAGTTGCACCAAAGAAAGTACTTAAAAAACCATTTACATAATTTATCTAATTATCTATTTCTGATATTTCCAAGAGTACCAGTAATAAAGTTATGTGCAAAAATTCCCGGAAGGGTCGAGATGACCGTAATTAAGGGTAAAAGTTTCAGGTAATTTGCTAAAACTTATGGATTCATGTGATGGTAGCGGTTTTGAAAGAGTTTTGGAATTCGAGGGGTCTCTTATTATTAAAAATCGTATTAGATTTATTTTAAGAAGCCAAAACTGGCCGTTCAGACTTCAAAGGGGTGAATGAAATGAGAAGTTTTACTGTATTATTTTTTAAAATTGAATTTAATCTCAAAGGACCCCGCACACATCTTATGGGTTTTTGGTTTTCTGTCAAACTCAATGAAATTTTGATATGTGGTATATCTTGACTTACTGATAAAAAGTTCTTATGGGCCCAACCCGATACTATGAATAGTTTCCGAAATACAGGTGGTTCAATGTTCAAGAAATGTACACATTTTATATGCATTCACATCTACCTGTCACCTATTATTAGGTCTGTCAGAGTGAATTTCATTGGTTGTAACTAGTTTTCTGACTGTTTTCGACCAATCAAATTCGCTCTGACAAGTTTGTGATTTTTGCAGAAACAGACCTATTATTAGGTGACAGGTAGATTGTCAAAACATATAAAATGTATACATTTCTTGTACCTGTATCTCAAAAACTAATCATAGGATTGGCTCGGGCCCATGAGAACTTTTTTCAGGAAATCAAGGTCTAACACATATCAAAATTTCATTGTGTTTGACAGAAAACCAAAAACCCATAAGAGGTGTGCAGGGTCCTTTGATTTTCAAGTTGAGACTAAATTTAAACTACAAAACATTTTAAAACTTACCGTATATCTTTGGGCAGAGTCCCCTTTTTGAGGAATTTTTGACCATTAACTCCAAAATAAAAAGCCTCTGCTTCAAAATGGTTGGCACAGATTCTAGGATTTTTTATAGCTGGGTGGTTATCGGGGCTATCAGCCAACCCTAATAAGGAGAACCATTTTCTCTGTTCATCCAGATTAGTTGGAATACTAAAAGTTATATTTTTATTTATATTATGAGAATTAAATTCAAAATTAAGTAGATTTAATAATATTTTGAAAGATAATAATTTCCGTTGTTAAAAAATTCGATTTTACTAATACACTTTGTTTGTTAACACTATTAATTGACTAATTATTTATTAATTAAACAACTCTTTAACCCTTTGAAGAAAAAAATGTTAACTTCAACTGAAAAATCCTACACAACTAAGGACGTTGTGAGCGAAAGGGTAAAAGCGCTAATCTTCAGGACCATAATTTGAAATAAACAAAACAAAAATACTTAAATTAAAAAGTAAAAACTATATCCTAGACTTGATGAGAATAGAAATCAAAAAATACAAAATGCGCGTTGTTTGTCACCCGCCACTGTTTTTTGTTTACTTACCGGTGAAAACTCAGCTGAGGATTATGTCTGCTAGAAATTTTGCACACAAGGCACTTGTAACGGGCTAATACCATTGTTTATTAGAAAAAACTCACGAAACGAACGAAAAAATCACAAAAAAAATCACAAAATATTCGCTAGAAAATAAAGATAAATTTGTTTTGATCACCACAAATGTCAACAACGCACTAAAGAAGATCGCAAGACTCGACTGGAGTAGAGTCGAGGGGTGCGTTCTCAGGTAGCCGTTTGGTTGCTTATCCTTGTCTTGTATAAGAAGTTGAAAAAGGACACTCAGTTATTGGTGGTAAGTAGAAGATTTGAGGACGTTTAGTGTGATCGCGACCAAATGTTTTTCAACAATAATTTACTACGCCGAACAATGTGGTGTTTATAATGTGCATCAATGTTGGAGCAAAACAAACAGGCACCTTGTCCTGTCTCTACAGAATGTAGATATATAGTCTAAGGTACAACCCACCGCTGCTCGCATACTTGGGCTACGAATTAGGACAAAATTAAATACATAATAACATTGCTGTGCAATGTAAACAAAAACTTACGCCTTTGTCCAAGAATGGCTCCAATTGTCTTCCAGGCATTTTCTTTAGCCCCTTTATTTTTAAATCGAGCGTCCCCCTTGTTATAGAGGGCAGAAAATCTGCCCACTTGCTCTATCAGGTCGGCGTCGTCCATTATTTAGTGTAGTAATCGCTAATCGCCGCTTTATTTTCTCGTTAAATTGATACAAATCAACACAACACAATACAAAATAAAATCTACCTACTGAAAAGGGCAAATAACAGCTGACATACTGACAAGTGAACTGTCGATAAATGCGCAAGCGCGAAGAAACGCATTTTATTGGTTAAAATATCAATCCTTGCCTTAAGTTAAATCTTTGTATGAACGTAACTAAATGAAATTAAATTATTTCTTAAATTAAATGCTAAATTAAATTAAATTATTTTCTGTTAGAACCCAGCTTAACAGTGTATGTACCCTAAACTTCCAGTTGTTGAAGTTTGTAGAAGTTGTTAACTGTGGTAAATTCACCACTGAGCTACTCATTTTTTTTTTTTTTTAATTTATTAGCTTACTTTTTCAGCCTTAACTTCTTATGTTTCTTCTACTTCTCTGCTTGGCCCATAACCTATTACAGTATCTGGGGGGTTGATTTACGTCTTTGATGATAGAGAACTTCTAACTAATTACTTTAATCATTAATTTATTATAAAATATTAAACGTGAGTTACAAAAGCATATATTTTGGTTACATTATTATATTAGGTTATGTTCTATTGCTAGGCGCTTTCGGCTTTCACTCTCAGTGCACTATATTACTCTAACAAATGCTAATACGGTAAAAAACAGTACCTGAACCTTAACCCGAACGGCTGGAGTGCACGGAGTCAGCAAGCCGAACCCACCTATCGATATTTTTGATTCCAATAGACTACCTAAGTCTGACGTCACATAAATGGGCGGAGCCTATACCTACTGGGTCCAAACAATTTCGTATTTAACGGTAAATCCGTATAACCAATCTTTCAGTTCGTGTTTTTGTGGATTATTTCTTGAAATTAGACTTTCCAGTTGGATAAATTGTTGGAAGAACGTGCTATCTAGTTGATTTTTATTGGTTTTTCCTGAGGTGAGTTATTTTAACATAATAATTCTGCTTTAAAACTTTTTGAGGTTATGTTTATTCTATTTTGCAGTACCTTTTTGTTTGTTTTGTTTTCAGATCCTTTTGTTTTTAAGAGAATAATGGCTTTTAAACACGTTCTGAAACTTTCAAGCATCAATGCTTTTATAGATGATAACAAAATTATAAAAAGGGGTGAAAATGCCTTGGAATCCAGCCATGTGAAAAAAATGGAATTTGACTCTGATTTGCAGATTATTAGAGGGGAAGTATTTGCTAGTATGAAAGACAAAAGCTACAAGGTATCTATAGGTATGTTAACATTTGCATTTGTTAATATAATATGGAATTAATTTTTTTATAATTTTATTGTAGTATTGGAACAGAATGGTGATATTAGAGAAGCCACTTGCATTTGTCCTAGAGGCATAAAATGCCATCACATCGCAGCGTTGGCTCTTTTTGGGCATTATCGTATATCGGTAACAGATAAAGCATGTGCATGGAATGCACCACCCAAACCAAAGGATGGGCCAGTGAAATGTGCAGAAGAGCTTTATCCACCAAAGCCCTATACAGCTCTCGAAGGTGGGGTACCAGAGGCATCAATCAACAGATTGAAGGAAAGGCTACGCAGCTTCGGAAATACTGTTGGTTTTACTTGGCTATTGAATGAGGAGTCAATAAATCCGCTGGAAAATAGATTTGCGATAATCGAAGAGATAATTTCTTCCAAGGATTTTTTGGAGGCCACAGATAAAGTGTCTGTGTTCAGACAGAAATGTGCTGTCGATGATCATTCGATAAAAGACATCGCTGCTACCACAACTGGTCAGGTGTCAAATGAAAAATGGTTCCTTGTGAGAAAATTTCGTTTGACTGCTAGCAACTTTGGTGCTATTATTGCAGCGTGCCAAAGAAACAGATTCCCAGTGAGTTTGTTCAAGACGCTCTTAGGTGAGTAATAAATCTTTTAAATATTTTGGCGTACATGTTATTGAATGCAATGACGTGCTTCACTGAAGTTGCTTATTGCTCCTCTAACATGAATTTTCTTTTTTTAAATTTTGAGTATGTAGTCTTTAAACTCACAGTAGTTTCCAACAGTTGAGGAAAAAGGGCTGTCTTTGTAATGAACAACAATGTAACAACTTTTCGGTTGTGCTTTTTCTGTGAAGTTCTCAGAGTCTGCTAGAAGGGTGCCAGTAAATTTGAGTAACAACCCTGCCCCGGTTAAAATTTGGTTTCTTGAGATTTTTAAGCATTTAAGATTTTTAGATTTTTTTGGTCAGATATTAAGTACACATATTTAGGGCAGATGATATTTTCAAAAACAGTATTTTATGTAGCGTTTTCTTACTTTGGGTTAATTTGACATACATTTTTATTATAATAAATTCAATATTTTTTCCAGGCGAGTACAATTTGGATGGTATCAAAGCAATCCAGTGGGGCAGAACGCATGAAAAAGATGCTCTAGACCATTTGAAGTCTAATTATAACTTGAATATTCGACCAACCGGAGTATGGCTCTCAAATTCAGGACTTCTTGGTGCCAGCCCTGATGGATTGATTGATGAAGAAGAGGCCATTGTGGAAGTAAAATGTCCTTATTCTCTCAGAAATAATCAATTGTCCGAAAAATTAAAGAATTTAAATAAATATATAATTTTTTATGATGATGAGGGCAATTTAATGTTGAATACTAATCACCACAATTACTATCACCAAATTCAAGGTGCTTTACATATTTTAAAAAAGGAGAAATGTTATTTATGTATTTATACGTTGAAAGAAACAATTGTAACAGTTATAGAGTTTGACGATTCATGGAAAGAAAATCTTTCAGTCTTGGAAAATTTCTATATAAAACAATACCTACCAAAGTTGTTAGAAAATTAATTAATAAATTGTGAATTTTTATTTAATGTGCTTTTATTTAATTCCACAATGTAAGCAGATGGAGTACACTGTTTGAAAAATGTATATCATTTATTTTAGACTGAAAACTCCGATCATACAATCAAGGTCCTTATTCTTGGAACAGGGGAGCAGCGGAATACTCGTTCTCCTGGGAATGCTGCTTCTTGCTTCAAGAATAAGGACCCTAATTGTATGATCGGAGTCGGATCGGAAGAATGCATGATAGATGTGTCCAGAGCTTAAAAAGTTTAGTTTTAGAGGAAATCAGGAAATGATTGAAGATTTTTTTTTGATATAGGTAACATTTGCTCGATAAACATTTTTTTTAACAATTTTAGCTATTTTAATTGCTGTATTGTACTGTAGATATAGTTGGGTGACAATTTTTTGTGTGTAGATATCGGGTCTTCAAAAAAAAAAAACAACTGAGAAGTGCTTTGATTGTCATTATTGTTTCTTTATTGGTCAGGATTTTTGACATTAAAGTTCACTGACAAAGAAAAATATTGTTAAAACATACGTTCAAAAACCCATAGCAATCTTTGATTAATTTTTTTTGAAGACCCCTGATTATATGTTAAAAAAAAAAAACTAGAACATAACTTGTGACTCACATACTTTATTCGACGATTGTAAATACATACTGAAGTATACTGACAAGAAATACAATTTTACTTGTATTTGTTTACTTTATGAAAAATGTTGGTTGGATGTACAGGTTTTTATCAAATTAAAGAAACTGGAAATATTTCAAGAGAGGAGTATCATTATTACTCAAAACAAAAATTTTATAAGAGCAAGTTATTTATAAACTAAGTAAAATCTAAATATAAATTTTTTAAATAAAAATTTTAAGCAGAATTTTTCACAAAACGAATGTTAAATAAAGAAATAATTATGTTTGCCACAATGAAAAATTCAAATTAAGTACATATGTTTAATAAAATACTTACATAACTAAAACTAAAAATTATAATATTATATCGTCCCACTCGTCCTTCAATAATATTCCTGAACCTCTTTAATCGGGGGATATTGGAAGTTGGTGAGGGCTGCACAGAGTTGGAAAATAATTGAAATTTGGGACATATAATGTGATGGAATCTGTTGCAGAATGTTATAACATTTTATTTTTCTGATGGCCCGTTCTACATGTATCCTAGCCTTCGCAATTTGTTGTGTTTCATAAACTTGAGATTCCGTGAACTGTAGTGTTGTCAAAAATGGAGGGATATTCAATGATACTCCTGCAGGAAGAAGGTCCTTGATAAGGAAACCTTTATCTGCCAATATTAAATCTCCAGCCACCATCTGATCCAGAACTTTACTCTCCTCAACAATTTTTTTATCTGATGTAGACCCTGGAAAAGCCTTGCTCACGAAGGTGATAACACCATTTGGTGCAACACCTACCAACAATTTCCAAGTGTTCCGGTGTTTGTAGGAACTGTACGTCAATCTCTGCTTTTCCATGTTTGCTGGAATTGCTGAAAAAATTTCGGTGCAATCTAAAATTATCCTGCAATTTCGAAAATTTGTGAAAGCAATAGGGAGGCAGGCCTAATTCTGTTGTCTGGATGGTATATTGCACATCAAGTTCTTGAATAGGACTTCATGTAGAGCATATATCCATGTCATAACAATGTTGGTTACTGTAGCTGTACTGCAACTAAATCTAATACTTAAATCTTCATGTGGAAGATTAAGCCTTAGTTTCATCAAGGTCATTAGCAGCTGATCAATTTTGGGAATGATCTGAACATTCCATCCAGCATAGTATTTTAATTTAATGGTGTCCATAAGTTCAAAAAGAACCATGTACAGCTCATTGGTTGGAATTCCAGTATACATTAGCAAATGGGCATCATTTTTTTTGATAATTTCATAGCTAAACCGTGTCGTTAACTGTTCCAGTTTTTGAGTCAATTGATCCACCTGTTGCCTTAAAAAGTAATTCTCAGCATTTTGGAATGCAGATGACGGACTCAACAGTGAAGCATCAAGTTTTATTTGAGTCACTTGATGTTGCTGTTTCGAAAACACTGGCATCAGCTCGGATGAACAACCTGGTAGAGGCTCAGTTGAAGGTCCTGGTAGTGGCTTATCTGATGGTCCTGGTAAAGGTTCATTTGATGGTTCTGGTAAAGGCTCAGTTGAAGGTCCTGGCAAAGGCTCAGTTGAAGGGCCTGGTAGTGGTTCAGTTGAGAGACTATTATCAACCTTTTTCACGGTTCGCTTCCTAAAAAAAGTACTTGATTAGACTATAAAATAAAACAAAAAAGTTTTTTGAAAGCTGGTATAATCAAATTGTCACTTAATCGTTTATTGCAGGTGGTTCATAGGCATACGAGCAAAATGTTTCTTGAAGTACCTATTTACCTAATTAAATTAATTTCTGCCTTAAGCAAACCATTACGAAGAAGTGTCTTGAAGGATTAATAAATACAAATATTATTTTTTAAATTATTCTTGGTATCTTCTGCATTCACAATTTAACTAACCAAATTAATGAAATTAGTAATAATCTCATGTGTCCCAGGTGAGTACCAAATAATCAAAAAAGGCCTAAAATGTACAAAAATGTAGTAGGTTAAAATATGCTAATAAGTCTGCAAGTATGGAGATAAATAGAAAAAAGTGGTCAGGTACCAAATTTTTACTTCATGCATCAATGGGCATGCTGGGATTCAAAGAAGTTTCATTGTATATTCCTAATTAACATTAATTTAACCTATTGTTGTGATTATATTTTTCTAAATTCAAACCTTTTTTGATTACTTTTCGCCTATTCAAACCATTGCCCCATGCCTTCACTTATAATTTTATTCTCTTGTGCTTGCTACCTGTGAGCCCCAATTTCTATTGTTCTGGAGTGGTCAAAAAGTAGTTAAAGGGTGAATGCCTCCAATACTACAAGGGTGCGTTTTATTTTATATGTAAAAGATACTGAAACCAATCGACAGGCAGGTATAGAAATATTTGTTCACTTTGTAAAGGATGGGATTAAAATTGATCGAGTATGATTGATTATACCAGCATTCAAAAAAATAGACTATGATGGTACTTCTGCAACAAAATGCTTACCTTCTTTCTGGTGATTCGATGTTAAACCTCTTGTGAATGTTAAAATTGAACAAAGTTGGCCCATTCTTCTTTTCTCCATTTAGAAAGTGACAATCACACACTTTTGCAGATTCACCTGGGTTTCTATCTTTTCGTCTGTAAATAAATAAATTTAAAACATAAATCTTTAAAAACAATAATGTTATCATTATTTTACCTTATGAGAGAAATCCATCTATTCCTTTCGGTCTTGTTTTTTGGGAAACGAAAAAACCTACATTCATGCTTTGAACTGTAATGTTTACAGTCCGGCACGAAGCACATACCCATTCTAAGGCAGTCCTGGGTCCTAAAAGCCCCAAAAATTAACTCAATTATCCTCGAAAACTCATAACTATTAGTAAATAACAAAAATAAACAACAAAAACGGTTTAAAGCATAACCTCAAAAAGCTCTAATGCAAAATTGTTATCTTAAATTGACTCACCTGGGCAAAAACAAATAAAAATCACTCAAATAGCACGTTTCGTCAACAATTTATCCAACTGGAAAATCTTATTTAATGAAATAATCCACAAAAACAAGAACTGAGTTAACAACTCGAATTTTGAGAGTTAGTTTTTAAAAAAAATTATTTTCAATGGTGGTTACAATACAACTGACTTAAACCTAAGTAAAATTAATATTTATAATTATTAGCTTTGCTGACAAAGCTGTTCCCAAGAAATGCAACGGTCGGACTTGTTCTGAAAACAAAGTAACAAACTGCTGAACTCTTAAGTTTATGAGAATGTAACTACTGAAAGAATGGTTATGCGGATTTACCATTAAATACGAAATTGTTTGGACCCAGTATAGGCTCCGCCCACTTTTGTGACGTCAAGGCTTGGGCTGTCTATTTCTATAAATAGAATTCTATTTTGCAGAAAATAATTTTGATTGACAGATGTAATAGCCGTCACGGCTGTCACTGTCAACGTCAACAGGTTTTTATTTTTAAGTTTATTTTTCATTCAACGTTCAATCCTGCAGATATAAAACACGTGTCGCATAAAATTTATAAGAAATAAAGTGTCTAAAGTTGTCTTAGTTAATTTTTTCTAATTTCAAGGTAAAAAGTGAATATTTAAAATGGTTGATGATTGTGTTCGAATTATGAGAGAAAATTCTCAAAGTTTTCTTTACAATTTGGAAAAGACGGATTTCATTATAAAAACAGCGACTAAAGGATTTCTACTAGAAAATGACGATTCCATATTGTGTCTAGAAAGTGCAGATCTCGATGTAACTAGAGTTTTGTTCGCTCAAGTTTTGATAAACTTTAAAAAAGATGCAATTTTCAAAGAAAATTTAAACGAAATTTTTTTCATTGATTTCAATAGTATTATTACATTGACCACAAAACAAAATGAAGATTTTGTGAAAAATTTCCCTAATTTATTGGTTTGCATTTGGGACAATCAAGAACAATTAAGTGAACAATTATTGCATTTATTGAAATCTTGGATAAACGCTATCAAGTTAAATGGCAAAAAAATTATTTTTATTGTGAAAAATTCAAAACATCTGGAAGAAATTATAATGGACAATCAAACAACAAATATTTTTCCATTGAAATTGAATGAATTGTGGAAAAGAAGTGAAATATTATCGACAAATAATCAAGCCACTTGTGAGGTTGAAAATACTTTAATAAACATTGAATCAACTTCAGCAAAAGCCTTGGATGAAGGTACGAATAATAATTTAAAGAAAGAAGAATCAACTAAAAAAACCTCATCACAAGATGAGGTAACAACTAAGGAAGCAAATTTAAAGAATTTATTACAATCACTTGGTGTGAAAGAATTGGATGCTGTAGATGAAGATGGCAATACTCAATTGCATTTGGCAGTTCTAGATGGAAAAACAGAAATTGTTCAATCGCTTTTAATTCACGAAGCGAAAAAAGACGTAAAAAATAATTGGGGCTCAACAGCTCTTCATTATGCAGCTGACAAAGGTGACAGTGCAATTGTTCA